AACAGTCAAAGTAGAAATTGAATTCCTTAGATGTGACATTTTTTTATGAAATTTAAACCAATCAAATGAATCATAAAGACTGTCAAAGATGGTAGAAAGGATTATGTCGAGATATGAGTGATAATTATGTCGAGATGCAGATTATTGATTTAAACCACGTAGTAAAAGTTGATAACTAGTTTGAAAGTGTAGAGATAACCAACCATTCCTTGTATAGTACCTTAATTTTGTAGATAGTGTGGTTGTTATAAGGATTCTTAGAGCTTTAATGCATTTAATTAAAGTGTAGTCGGATTCATATGTAGATGTGGAATTAGTTAAATAAAATCAATTTCAACTCAAGAGATGTAAATTGAATACGTTAGAAGAATTCGACCGGGTACACTATTATTGTAATGAATCTTGATTAGCAAATTAAATAGTTAAGAAAAATATTATTTTCTTGCATATATTAGTCCTCTTCCGTTTAGAGAGATCAAAATTTTAGTAGATTTGATAGGTCTTGTAATTTGAAGTACTACTATTATAAGTTAATGCCATTGTATTTTAGAAGACGAGTATCAGAGGACCATCAGCACCAATGCGAGGCACTATTGTTTTAAGAAGAACGAGTAGAACTCTTGCATTGATCATATTATTTATTTCCGTTGTATTTTCTTTCATTAAATAAGTCGAAACTCTGTCCAATTTTTCAATCACCAAAAAGTTATTTTAAATATAAATTTGTACATGGTAAATCTGTTATATTTTATTCCATGATTTCCCAACACGTACGAGGTATATGTCTTGCTACTTAGCTTTTATTTCGAAAGTGCAACGATTTTCTCCTTCCTAGTAAATTGTTTTTATTACCATTGTCCCGTTTCTGGCCATTTATATTTGGCTCAACTTCTTTTTGACACGGTTAAGTCTAGAATGCATGATGTCATGCATCTTTTAGGGCTGTTTCCAAGTATCTTCGAACCCTTTTGTTAAGGAGGCAGAGTCCGGACTCTGGAAAAAAGTCTATTTCCATGGACAGCATGTGTTTGGCTAAGCTAAAAAGTAAAATCTGTACTTGTGTTTTTGCATGAAAAAAAAAAAAGGCACGTTCTCAAGACGAGAATAGATATCCATGTAGAACAGAGGAATCCCTTTGACAGCATTCACATAAAACCTTGAATGCAGCTTATGAAATCAGACTTTTAAATCTTATATAGGATGGAAACGGTAAGGCTCGGGTTTGGACTGTTTTTCTGAAAACTAGACGACTTCTTTTGCAAGTAATACATAGTGCGTAGTCTATAGATGTAGTTTTTACGCGTATATGTATAGTTGGGGGATCATCTTGTATACGTAAAAATTCATTGTGTAATATCTTTGATAAATTCAGTGTCAATCTGCAGTTTCGCTCTAAATCTCATACAGCAATTCCACAGGCATAACTGATTAAAACACATCCAAAGGAAAATCCAACGATCACATTTTTGATTATCATTAATTTTATTTTATATCCACTAAAACTATATAAAATGAATTCTCAAAGGTAAGGTCTTAAAACACAACCTTCATAGTAAATATGATTCGACAACAGTTCGTCCAAAGGTAATTAAAACAGAAAATGCAGGGCAGGAAAGGGGCAACAGAAATCAAGAAATGGAAAGTACGAACACCCCAACAACCATATCTTTTTCACAAATAAAATTGCTGTAAGTACACAAATTCCAGTAAACAAACGTAAGCCAAAATGGCAAATGCATGTAATGAGGTCAACAAAATTACTACCAGCTTTCGTGAACTTTTCAAGGAGCTCCTCATGCCTCTTGAACTTCTTTTCAAACTGATCAGCTTGCTTATTCATCTTATCGGCCGAAAACCTCTCATCATCATCCGAATCCCAGTCAGTAGCCTCCTCGTACCGGTCCAGCTCCGAGCTCTCCTCTTTCAGCTTTTGTTCATCCAATTTCTCAATAATCGAATCCACGCCCATGTAATCCTCATCGTAATCGGTATCAATATCGGCAGCATCCAGCCCCGCCTTCTGCCTCTCCTCTTTCTCGCGTTGCCTTTCGCGCTCCATTTGGACCGAGAGCACCTGCAGCGCCCGGTCCGCGGCGGCGACACGTGCATTCAACGAC